TGTAGAAGAAATACTTACATGGGCTAAAAAAAAAAAAAAAATGCCCAATAGAGATTATTTTATAATACTTTCAGAGGGAGAGAAAGACTTGTCAGTTCCAATGGCTGCATTGTAAATATTAAATGTATATCCTAAGAGATAATTTATTAAGCATCAGAGAAAACCCCAATATTTATAAACTGATCATTACTGATTTGTTCATTCGAAATAACATAATTGCAACACATCTCTGTTATAAAATGCAACTTGAAACTTATACATGCATATTTAAAAGAAACTCATAATCTCCTTTTCTGAAAGCTGAATAAAGGCTTGAATTCATTGCCCAGTTGCTTAAGAAATTATCTTTTATTCTTGCTTAGATATCATTTGTGATTTCAAATTTTAAAAAATCAGACTATGATACATGCTAATTAAAATGGGTTCATTCTAATTGAGCTTATATGTCATTTATCTTGCAATAAAAATAAACCACTTAAACTTTTAATTAAATAAGCACACAATTTAATTTATCCTATTGCATATGAACATTCTCATCTCCCTACTCTTCAGTTCTGTTCCAGCCCCTACACTCTCCATACTGGAAAACAAACCAACCAACAAATAAACAAACGAACTATATCTAAAACATATATAGAAAGGGCATATTAGTTAAGAAGTTACAGTCAATACACTACTAGAAAATTGCTCCTTAGTATAATCTGTAAAAGACTACATATTTAATTACTGGTACTAACCTCTAGCACTAAAGGAGGAGAGTTTGAAATATATGTTAGTCAAGCAAGTTGAGAAAGTAGGAAAAGAAAAATGCACACAAAACCCTAACAGGAATTTCAAATTTGCAGAATCAGAATTAGCCTCATGATTTCACAGTTATTTAGCCGACATTATTTTCAAGGACTGGTATGAGTTATTTAATTTACTTCTACTTGCTAATTCAAACTTGTAGCTTCCCACTTAACCATCACTAGTATTAGTAGTAAAATGTTCTACTATTTCATATAAGATGTATCTTTATGGGTTGTCAATTTTTCCCTTTAATTCCCATTAAGAAATATATCAACATTAACAAGAACAGTGAGAATTTTAGGATAAAGTGAAACTCAGAAAAGAATTTAAATAATTCAATAGCTATTCATCATGCCTTCTGCTGTAAGAGACATGGAATACTACTCCATGATTCAGAACCAAAATTACTTAGTTCCCTTAATCTTTGTTATCCTGGGTCATATGTATATTTCTTAAGTTTGTATGACATCTACAAAGCAAAGTGGATATTTTGTCTAACAGGAGCTTCTGCAATAGCAAGATGGACAACAAAGAATTAGTTTCCAAGAAAAGTTGGCTTGATTTCAGGGACTTTATATCCTTTTCCACACCTGGGATTAGGATTTGCAGTAGGCAAATCAATCTTTTCTTTCCCTTAATTTAACCAATCCCAAGTGCATTTGTAACCACAGATCTTTAATAGTATTTGAAGACAGAATTATTTAGATCTATACAATTAACTGTTTTAAAAAATCTAAATTCTCAGGGTAGAAAATTCATTAAATTAAGGTAAGCTTGTTTAAATTTTCTTTCTTTTTTTTAGCTTGTTTAAATTTTCAAGGAAAGTCACTACAGTGTGCCAACCAGCTAACTGAGGACCCCAAAAGTAGAACTGTCATGAAATTATTGTTACATTATTTGATAATTTTTATAAACTATCTTGTCATAGTGGAAAAGGATAATGGATTTTTTATTCTTATAACTACTTGCAAACCTCATTTTGACCTTTTTATACTAATATTGCCTTTTCCTCAAGTAGGAGGATAATGTAAGTGGAAGGATTTGTAAAGAGCTTAAAAAAATAACCTCAATATCTACCTAGCTTAAATTAAAATCTAGAGCACCCAAAGGACATAAGTCATGCATTGTGAGGCAAGAGACCACAGAGCCAGAATGAACAAACACTTGTACAACTATTGGTTTATCACCACTAACTTGCAGGAACATATGGTCAGTGAAGAGTTATTTAAAATTCAAACTGCATCTAAGTTCTATTTTCCAAGTCAGTATTTTTTAAAACATATTTTGTTAATTAAAAGTTGAAATTATAGTGCCTTTTTCGACCCTATTTCATTTAACAGAACTTTCCCTTTAGAGGGTAAATATTACAAGAGTTTTCTTTTTAAAATACAAGACTTTCAAAATGCACCCAAAATGACATTCTTCCCACCTAAAACAAAAATAATATACTATTAAGTGAAAAATAAAATCAAGTTTTAAAAAAATTTCCTTTCTCTCATATGTTGCTTAGAATTCTTCTTGAACCTTTTAAATACTGAAAAGAGATTTCTGAAACTGGTGACAAAAATTAGTTTACAAGTTAGAATATATGATATCATTAAGCTTCCACAGTAATAGCAAAATTTCTAGCATTTATAAAGTAACATTGTAAAATCATTTCAAGATTATATTTTTGTTGTGTTGCAATCTGACTTTCCATCAGGCTACTGCAAAAAAATACATGTATTAAGTGTCACTGTGGGTTGCAAGGCTGTAGCATAAGAGCATTTTGTCCTCCTGAATCCCCCTCCAGGTGTTCCACAAGTTGAAGAAAAGTCTTAGGGTTAGGCCTACAGAGTAGGACCCAAGGCCTAAAGAGTATAATCCACGTTCCTTTCTAACCTGTACAGAATAAAAGAGCCTATGTGTACCTGTCTGCCCACAGATATTAGAAATGAAAGTATTTATTTTTTTCCTGGCAACTAGTATTTCAAAATATTATTTTAAGTCAACTTTTTAAAAAGAAAACAAAAAGAGAGAGAGAGAGAGAAAAGGAAAAAAAGAAAAAACCAAACTCTTGTTAAGAAATACATTTAAGAACATCCATCTGTAAAAATATTTTTGAGACATTTTTCATTTAGAAAATGATGTAAAAAGATTTACTGTTTTCAAGTCCTTGAAGCTAAAATATATTTGATAATCTAAATAGCAGGCTACAGAGAACAGTTTCAGCCAACTGTGGCGTACAATGGCACATTTACAGAATTTTAAGTATTTCTTTTAATAATTGATGTAGTCATTTTGAATCATTCTGCATAGGATATCAGGTGTGAGCAGATTGCATTAACGCTGCTTAAACATTTCAACTTGTCAGTATGGCCAACTCGATTTCGGAAATATTTGCAGTATTTTCCCATCGAAACAGTAATAAAGGCAAAATAAATATATGCCACTACTTTATAATCACCGAACATTAATGAATATTTTATGTCTTTTTAAATCTCCCTGTTTAATTTAAAAGGGTGAAATTAAGTCTCCTCCCTGCAATGTGCCAATTATCTGTAAATCAAACAATAACTTGGCCATTATGCTCCTTTTTGTTAATATAAGAGAAGCTAATTTGAAAACACTGAATGGCATTTTTAGACTCAGTTTAATAGTCCTCTCTGCCCTCTTGTGGGAGAAAGTTGAAACACACTCAAACTATAAAGACTGGGAATGTTAAAAATACAAAAAACAAAAAAAGGTAAAATTTTGGCTATAAAAATCTCAATCAAAAAGAAAAATAGGGCAGTCTATATTTATCCTCCATGTATTATATTAGTCTTCAACTTAAAAAAATAAATCAATAACAATGAAATTTATCTCTCATTATCTGTGCTTTTCTTCATTAAATTGAGGTTATTTATTATCAAACTGAATTTCTTATTTAATTTTATTCACTATATAATTTAAATTTCATAATCATGAGGTTCCAAGAATAACTTTCCAATAGGGCCAGAGTTATTATTTTTATTTTATTATTTTTAACATAAAAACAACAGGTGATTCTTCAAGGAATTAAAATTTTAAATTCAGAGAACAGAACATCCATTTTAGAGATTTTAAATGAAATGGCAGTTACTGTATTTAAAATCTTAGAAAAAAATCAAATAATTTAAACCTAAAATTCAAATTAGGGGCCAAAAAATTTTTTTTAAATATTGGTTACTGGTCAATAAATTATTCAAGTGATAAACAGAGAAAATAAACTTCATGTAATGAGTTATTTATGCCAAACTCAGCAGTTGAAATTTATTGATAAAATGAAAAAAGAAAATCATTAACTGTCCAGCCATTTCGGAAACAATTCATATACTTCTGAAATATGATTAGGGTGGAAACTTGTTCTTTCAATATGACATTAATAATTTAAGCAATGTAGTCCAAAAAAAAATTTATGAAATCCAAGATTAAACATGATTAATAAAAACATGATTAGACACATGATTGCTGTCTTCATATCCTACAAGAGGTAATGTGACATAATTATCATTCCACTGTTTCTAAACACAAGTCTCATCATAGCCTTACACATATCTGCCCCGCCCCATCCAAGGAGATAAATTACTAGCTTTTAGGTGGGTGGGGCCACAGACAAGAAGTTACCTCTTCTCTCTTGGGGAAGGTTCTTTTTTGAAACAGTGGTGGTGGTTGGCTCCACTGAAGAAAATATTGACACTATAAATAGATTCTTATTAGACACTCTGAGCGAAATGACTGGGTTCCTACAGCATCTCTAGAATACTGCCCAAGGCTGGAATTCAGCTGCTTAAGAAAAGCCTCTTCAATTCCTTTTGGAAGCAGGCAGATACACGTTATAAATAATATATTTGAGAGCAACCATTCAAATAAAATATAAGCATGTCTGAAAATGCATGCTATCAATAATTTCCAAATTAGTATTCTGAATAATTACTATAAAACTGTGAAATATATAACGAGTTATTTTAAGAAAGATTTTAAAAGTTGACTATTTTAAGAATTATCAAGAGCTTTCATTTACAACATCTATCTTTCTAGGTCAAGTAATATATCTACAGTAATCATTGATGCTCCAGTTAATTAAAATTAAGAAGCCAATAATGAAACATAAAGAGAGTTTCCAACCAGAACAGATAAGCCCTCTTTAACAGGGTCAACATTAGCTATAATGAGCTACCTTTATTCCTTAGCTGTGAGACATAACTCACCTCTTGAATGGTACTGCTTCCTGAGAAGTTCAGGTTGTACTCCCGCTGGACTTCTCGGTGGGTGATGATCAGCATGAAGTTTTGATTTAATGACTCCTGCAGGGCACTGAAAGGGTTGAAAGAAAAACAAGGAACTCTGAGATGAACAAGTTCTAGCTTGCTTTACAGTTAGCTGCAAAAACCCCAGGAGTACCATAACCTCCACACAGGCATGTCCGGGCCCAATGTTATCATCTTTTCAGCTCCTAAAGGCAAGATAGCATGCTGAGAACAACCAAGGGGAGCTAACTTGTTAACTCCTTCTCTACCAAGGTGTTTTTAAACTTCAATTATAAATACATTGCATACATAAGAATTTCTACAAGTCATATGCTATTGCCTACATATGTATTTTCACCAAGAGAAGCAAATGTGTCAACTATATTATTAAATTCCAAATATGCTACTAAAATGTACACTCAAAGACTCTGGTTTCCAAGAGAAACAGCAGTTCTGGAAGAACAGAAATTTGAAACTAAACTCATGAGCATTGTACAGGAACAGAAGTACAGCTTCAGTAAAAATTGAGAAAGCATTGAAATCTACAGAATTTTAATTGCTATACCATAATTCTTTCAAAATAACATGCTTTCACTAGGACTCAGAAAACCCCAGTATTTAGAAACTGGAGAATTCAGAGAAACATTAAACTCTGTGCCAAAGTTCCAAATAGTAAGAAATGTGCCAGAATCACAAATAATAAATACACTTAGCCACATAAATTAAGAAACATAAGCCATGGTTCGATTTGTTTATGATAATATTAAAAAGCACTAACAGCAATAAAAATTTTTAAATGTCACCTTTACATATGAACAATCTGTATTGCTAGTCTCAAGTGTAATTATGCCATGCTTATGGAATAAAAAATAACATACGATTCTGGCATTCATCACTCCTCCTTTGCCAATATGTAACGATGGGATAGATATACGTACAAAGTAAGATTAGAATTAGGCAGTTATCTGTATCTTGGTGTCTCCCATAGGGTTCACAGGTTAATTACAGATTCAAAATATCTAGGAAACACCAATATACAGCATGAACTATTTTAATCAAAATCAAAGAAAACAATACAGTTTCTTTGGGCAGGGACCTTTGTCATTGTAGCCTTACCACTTAAGCGTAATGTCTGGCACACTGCAGATAAATATTTGTTTAATAATGAATAAATTATAAATTCACAAGGCAAAAGCAATGTTATCTTCTGGTAAACTACCATGGGAATCAAGATTCTGATTTTTATTCATTTATTTATCAATATTAACTGAATGTGTTGCATTATTCCAGATGCTAAGGAAACCAACCCAAATAACATACAGTTCCTGTTCATGAAAACCTTCGCAATCTAATGAGGGCAGACAGATACATAAACAGCTGTAGTATAATGTAGTAAGTAAAACTAAGAAATCGAAAAAAGTACAATGAAAACTGAGAAGGAAGTGCTTAATTGTGCCTTAGTGGAAGGGTGAAAGGGCTAAGGAAAAGCTTCAGAGGAGAAGAAAAATATAAACAGAAACTTAAAGGGATTATTAATTTATTAATGAAAAGGGATGAAATATTAGGTTTGGGGAAGAGAGATGGGTAGCACTTCTTGGACAATGAAATAACACATGGAAGAACACAGCATGTTCATTCATTCAGTCAACATGTATTTATTAAGCACCTACCTACATTTATGACACCATTCTAAGAGCTAGACACATGAACAAAAAAAACCATGGTCCCTGCTTTCATAAAACTTATATTCTAATAAAGGAAACAGTACTCAAGTAAATGAATAAGTAACTTTAGAAAATGCTATAAACAGGATTGTAAAAGGCAGCAGAGGGGCAGGGGGAAGGGAATTATTTTCAGTAGAATAGCTGGGGAAGACATCTCTGAGGAAGTGACATTTAAGTTGAGGCTGGTGTAAGGAAGAGATAGCAGGAGTCTGATCATGTAGGTCCTTATAGACCACAGTAAAGAACTTGATATTTATAGTAATTGCAAAGGAAGGCCATTGGAGAGTTTTACATTGGGAAATGGTTAAGATCTGATTTACACTTACATTTATACAACATCATTCTGGTTGCCCTGGCTACAGTGTGGAAAGAGTCAAGGTACTGTTGGTCTCAGAAGAAACGCTGGTGGCTTATGCTAATGAGGGTAGTAGAGGCAGAGACAGTGAAGAGTTGCCAGGTTCAGCTGTATTTTAAAGGAAAAAAACGAACAACTCACTAATGAAATAAAAGAGAAAAACATAACTCCAAGGCTGTCTAAGCAAATGGAAAGATGAAATTGAACTTAACAAAGAATCGGGTTAAGAACAGGTTGCGTGGAAAAACTGAGTGAAATTTTGTATATATTAAAGTTTAAGGTACCTACGTAAGATCCAAAAAGAGATATGATGCACAGTTGTGTATAAGAATTGAGTGTCGAATAAGACAACTTAGAGCAGGAATCAAGATTGTCGGGAGAAATATCAATAACTTCAGATATGCAGCTGACACCACCCTTATGGCAGAAAGCGAAGAAGAACTTAAGAGCCTCTTGATGAAAGTGAAAGAGGAGAGTGAAAAAGTTGGCTTAAACATTCAGAAAACTAAGATCATGGCATCTGGTCCTATCACTTCATGGGAAATAGATAGGGAAACAATGGAAACAGTGACAGACTATTTTTTGGGGCTCCAAAATCACTGCAGGTGGTGACTGCAGCTATGAAATTAAAAGATGTTTGCTCCTTGGAAGAAAAGTTATGACCAACCTAGACAGCATATTAAAAAGCAGAGATATTACTTTACCAACAAAGGTCCATCCAGTCAAGGCTATGGTTTTTCCATTAGTCATGTATGGATGTGAGAGTTGGACTATAAAGAAAACTGAGTGCCAAAGAATTGATGCTTTTGAACTGTGGTGTTGGAGAAGACCCTTGAGAGTTCCTTGGACAGCAAGGAGATCCAAACAGTCCATCCTAAGTGAGATGAGTCCATCCTAAACAAGATCAGTCCTAGGTGTTCATTGGAAGGACTGATGTTGAAGCTGCAACTCCAATACTTTGGCCACCTGATGGGAAGAACTGACTCATTTGAAAAGACCCTGATGGTGGGAAAGATTGAAGGCAGGAGGAGAAGGGGACAACAGAGGAAGAGGTGGTGCTTACATGCAAGCAATCCTAATTTTACTTAATAATAGCCACAAACCACAAGAATAGTGATAGTGGCAATTTGAATACGACAAAGAGGTGCCATAAAGTGCTTCCTTGATGTGAACAGGTAAAAGTTTAAAAAAAAAATGTACACTGAGTTTGCTAAACTCAACAGTAAGAATGAATCTTCTATCCATGAAATTGTAATGAAGGAAAAAGAAATCATACTAGTCACAGTCTCACCTCTACTTCCAAAACTTATGGCTACAGTGTGTGAAAGCACTTAATTAAGATGGAAAAGGCATCGTATTTACACAATAAGATATTCTGAGAGAAAGTCCACATTCCTGTAATTTTTAATACAGTATATATTGTTATAATTTTTCTATCAACATTTATTGTTGTTTATATTTTACCTAATTTAATACTGTGCCTAATTAATAAATTAAACTTTATTATAGGTATGTATGTACAGGCATACCTCATTATATTGCACTTTGCTTTATTTTGCTTCACCATGTTTTTTTTTTTACAAATCGAAGGGCTGTGCCAACCCTATACTAAGCAAGACTATCAGCATCATCTTTCCAAAAGCATTCTTTTTTAATTAAGGTATATATATATTGTTTTTTTAGACAGAACTCTTTTATACACTTAACAGACTACAGTATAGTATAAACATAAGTTTACATGCACAGGGAAACCAAAAAATTCATTTGACTTGCTTCATTAGTAGCTCACATGGTACAGAATCTGCCTGCAATGTGGGAGACCCAGATTCAATCCCTGGGTTGGGAAGATCCTGTGGAGAAGGAAATGGCAATCCACTCTGGTATTCTTGCCTGGAGAATTTCATGGACAGAGGAGCCTGGTGGGCTAGAGTTCATGGGGTCGCAAAGAGTCAGACATAACTGAGTGACTAACACTTTCACTTTCATTTCATTATGATATTTGCTTTATAGCAGTGGTCTGGAATTGACTTTAAAATATTTCTGAGGTGTGTGCCTGTATAAGGCAAAACACAGTATATGTAGAATTTTGTACTCTTTGTAGTTTCAGGCCCACCATGGATGGCAGGACTACTATAGACAGTATTTAGATTTTGTAGCCCAGCCACCCCCAAAAAAAGAAATCACCTAGGGAACCAGAGAAAGAGGAGAAAGGCCAAGATGGAGCCCTGTGGCATTCCAACAATTCAGAATCAAGCAGAGGAAGAGAAATCAATGAAAAGGAGATTGATAAATGGCCAGTGAGGTAACAAAAACCAAGGTAGCCAAAAGACATAACTGCTTCAATTAGGAGGGCATAAGCAATTATGTCAAATGATACTTGAGTTTTACATGCAGTAAAGCCAGAAAAAATGATCATGTTCAGGAAATTGCAGAAAGCTCAGTGTAACCACAATAAAGGGTATACAAAAGGAGTATGGTGAGGCTCAAACAGTAGGCCTAGGTCAATGCTGGAATGGGTAGCCATTCTCTTCTCCAGGAGATCTTCCCAAGCCAGGGATTGAACCCGGGTCTCCCACATTGCAGAAGGATTCTTTATCATCTGAACCACCAGGGAAGCCCCTCAATATACATACATATGTCAAATGAATCTGGAGTCGAAGTGGCAAGACTGGAAAGTCTACTTGGGGTTTCAAGGTCTTGCATGGGTAAACCTATTTCACAATTATTCTCTAGAATTCAGCTTTTGCTCTAGAGCTTGGTTGACTTCCCCTCATACCAAAAACTTTACACCAAACTCACTTTGATCTCGATTCATATTGTTTGCATCCTTCTTTACACCCCTCTTCTCCCAAATACTACACATATACCTTATTTAATATTTATTTATAGTGTGTTTTGTAAGGTTTGCTTTGTTTCATGTGTGGAAGGCCTGAATTCAAGACTGCAACCCTTTTGAGGGTAAGTATTTTACCATTCATCTCTATTTCC